TCTTCGTTATCCTTAGCACGAACCAGATGAACCCCAACTCCATAATTAAACAACCATGCTCCATCAAAAACGAAAGCTTGCGGCCTCTCAATTAACACGAATCCAAGCACTTTAGTGTAAAACTCCACTGATTTTTCCACATTTTTACAAAGTCTGGACACGTGGTTCAACGCCATTAGTGGAGTTCCATTTTTTTCATTCTTCTTCTCCTTTTCGTGATCTTCTTCTTGTTGCTGCTCCTTTTTCCTTTCTACTTGCCTCTGCATTTTTTTGGTACGAAGTAAATTACCGAGGGATGAGAGGAATTAAGTTTTGATGTAGTTAAGCTCGCTCTTAGCAATGGCGGTAGATGAAATTTGGGTGTGACACGTACCATGAGGGTGGTATACACGTGTCGGCATTGAACAAGTAAGGGTGATGTGTGTTACTTAAAGAAAAACTAGTAGTACTTTCTCTGCCAGATTTTATGTGAAATTGTATGTGGAAGAATCAAATAATTTTTTTACACCGTAAATTGAAGTGATGATTGATTAATTATTTTTGTACGTAATTTAATTATTTTATGATTATATGTTAGTATTAGTGTTAAAACTTAGAGCTAAAAATATTAAAAATTTAATATATTTTATAAAAAATAATGTTTATTTATTTTCTATATATAGTATATTACTCTTTCTAGATTAAAAAAAACGTTCAACTAGCCATGTACATAGAACTATGTAGCTACACCAACCTTTTGCCAATATAAGTAGTAATCAAATAACTTCATCGTGCAAAAACAAAAAAACTACACAGAAAGATGAAAAATAATTTATAATCACATATTTTAAATCATAAATATTAAAAAAAATTAAAAGAATATACTATTTAAGACTTTAGTTAACAATATATACATATACATTTTTTTATTTACAAAACTAAGTTTTTAATTACAAATATAACAAAATATTTAATTTTTTATTTGTTAAAAATATATTTGGTATCCGTATCTATTACCTTTTTTAGGGGAGGTTATGTGCTAATTTTATGGGATTGATAATTATTGTTTATATTTTTTGACTTTTTCAACAACAATTTTACTCTTTTATGTTACTTTGTTTTTCTATATATTGATTTTCTCTCTCTTAATTTTTTATTCAATCAAATCATATTATTAATGGAAGCCTTCTCTCACATTTTTACCATTATTTTCATCTAGGTAAAAAACATGTAGGTTTCATCAAGTATGCATAGTGTTTTCACAATTATAACTGCATCGTAGTTTCACCAAATATGCAACCATGTAATATATAAACATACATACATACCAATTATATAACCATCATTTTACCAATAATTATTACTATTTTATACCTTTTAAATATATCAATTATATAACCATCAATTTACCAATAATTATTTTACTACTATATATAAATATACTATTTTATACCAATAATTATTACTATTTTATACCTTTTAAATATACTACTATATATCAATAGATATTGCATAAATATTTTGAAATTTTTTATTACTGTAATAGGTTGAACAATAGTTTTCACCATGTTTGTTATTGTATCCGATAGCAACAATTGCATGACTATAAGGAATTTCATCATGTTGAAATCGATTTATCAATAGATATTGCTTAAATATTTTGAAAATCTTTATTATTGTAATAGGCTGAACAATAATTTTCACCATGTTTGTTATTGTATCCGATAGCAACAATTGCATGACTATAAGGAATTTCATCATGTTGAAATTTTTCACAACTACATGTGTCATAAACGTTTAGCACGATCTGTAAATATATGAAGATATTATTAATATAATTACCACAAAGTCTTATTCACCAATATATACTTAAATATACATAAAACACTTTGGTGTATCTAAAAGTTGATTTTTTGGTGTATTTTTCAAAACTATGAATCTTCAATGGTGGGAACGGATCAGTCGCAACATATTTGAGCTCCAACTCAAAAAAGATTGTGTCCACACCTAATTGAGAAGCAGTAGTATTAATCAAGTCTTAGTAATTGGTGTCCACATCATATCACTCCTTCAATCTTGAAATTCAGATACTTTCCTGCGACATTACAAATATTTGTTAGTCAAAATTCAAAAAAATATTGGTGGCAAATAACAAAAATACTCATTAACAACATATGTCTAATACACCAATATAGATTGGACCAAAAAATACACCAACACATACATCAGGCTATTAGCTTGCTGTCAGTTCGTAGCAACAGATATACCATCATATGTACCAGATCACATACCAATTCAATTTTTCAAATTGATACATACATCAGGCTATTAGTTTGGTGTCAGTTCGTAGCAACAAATATACTATCATATGTACCATATCACATACCAATTCAAAATTTTCAATTTTATATTTTATTAGGATACCACCAATCAACATATGAACCTTTTTTCTAATTATTATATTATATACACCAACTTAATAACTATAATACGGACAAAAATGTAACATACTTTCGAACCAAATCATATGAAACCTAAACTTTAATATAAAAAAAATTGACATTTCAGTTTACAACCAAATCATATGTAGTTATTGTAATTAAACCAAAATTTCGAGGATCCAGAACATAAATCAAATTAGATGAATTCAATTTCACCAAAATAGACAAACTAAACCAAACGAATAACTCTCAAAAAGTACAAAATAGATATTTGTGATAAATCATATATAACCACGTAATAAAACACCATACAAATTATTTTATACAATTACCTGATGAGTCGTCCGTTGTGTTGGATTAGAATTGAAAAATTATTGATATTCATTTTTCGATAGTTGTTCTTATCAGAAAAGGGGAGTTTTGTTTTGGTAGAAAACCTCTATTGGAAGATAATATATAACAAATTTGAATAAATAAGGAAGGTAAAATAATTGGAGAAATTATGGATATAGTGATAAGCGTGGCTGATTTGGAAATCTTTTTTTTTTTAATTTAAATTCTACTTTTGAAAAAATAAATATTGCTATAAGAATGAAAAAAAAAAAGTATTGCTATTTTGGTGTAAATATGGTTCTTAATTTATATACTAAAAATCAGCCCAAGGTTAAAGTAATCACATCATGTTTGTGTGACTTATGTTTTGCTGTGATGAGAAATGTCTTCCTCAAGCAAAAAAAAAAAAAAAAGTTCTAACCACCTTTTATTCTTTTAGAATTTTGTTACCTTTATATCTAGAAAAAATATTTTTCTTTCATATAAATGTCTTTTTATTAAAATGAATTAAAAGCTTTCATCTTTTATGAATAAAATTCATTTTATCATAGAAATATTTAATAGTTTTATTTTTTCAATAAGCTCAAATATTATTTGAAGTTACAAAACTTTTTATTAGGGAGACCTTTGTAAGCGTCTAAAGTTTCAATCTTGAAATACAGTAAACAGGAAAGGAAAAATAGCAAGCAAACAATAATATTTGTATTTGAATTAATGCGAAGGTTACAATCTTTATAAAATCTCTTAAAGAGATATGTAATCCCCTGATTCTTCTCTTCACAGATGTTCTTGATTTGGCAGAATACTTGCGGCTCAACACTTGGAGCGAAGACTTCTTTGTATGCAGAAGACTTGCAGATCACAAATGAAGAGCAAATATGTTTTTTTGTGTGTATGCATGTATATATCCCTTCTGGTCTTATGAAGACCTCTTTATATAGGTTTGAGCTAGGGATTTAGGGGTATTTTGGTCCAAGCAACTTTGACCCCTGGGCCTGAAGAACATGAGTTGGGCTCATCTTGTCAATTTAATGGACTGACCCAAATGTTATTTGGACTTGATTTAAGTCATATAATTTTGACTTAAATATTAATCCCTTTATTAACCAGTAATTTGACTTAGTCAACGTATCATAAATTTAAGATTTAATCCAAATTTAGTATGAATTTATCAATAAAACTTCACTGTCTACAACCTCACTCATACGTCCAAAACAAAATATTTTAATATCATATTCAATAAAGTATTTTAATATTATATTATTTTCAAGCATTGTACTTTACTTTCTTTTCTTAAAATTTAATTAAAAAATATAAATATTTCCTAGATTCATAATATCTCATTATTATTCGTCAAAAAATTGATTAAATAATTTAGTCATTTAACTCTTGCCACATCCTATAATATCAAGAGAATAATTTCTATTATTACTCAAAAAAACATTTATGTTTTGGAGAAATTTGGTAAAATAACTTTGGGTCCTTCTCAACCTACGTAGTTTTCACCTTCTTTTTTCTCAAAAAAAATTGATCAAAATTATAGTCAAGTTTGGAAAATTAATTCTATCTACATTTCAAGTAATTTTTTCCTAGAAAATCTCTAAAGTGAAAAATATATTTAAATATAGTTTAATTATATAAATAGTTCTTCCAAATACAATAAAACTCATGACAGGCGTGCCTACATCAACTCAAAATATTATAAGCAAAAAATAATTTTAGTTTACTACTCTTTTCATTCACTTTTATTCATTTAATATATTTAAAATATTTTTTACTTTCACTTTTTTATTATTAGTATATTAAATGAACATTAATTTCTTTCTTATTTTATTCTTAACATTAACTATTTATGTCTCAAGCTCACTAAATCATACACTAATTATATAAATATTATGATAAAATATACACTTTATATATATATATATATATATATATATATTTATTTATTTATTATTATTAATTTATCTGATTTTGATTTAACATATATTTAAAATATTAAAAAATAACTAAGTATAATTTTAAACAAAAAATACTTATAATGTAAAAAGAATAAGCTTAAATATATCATGTAAAAAGTTAAAATATCAAATAAAAGAAAAAAGTATTTAAAAAGTATTAAGTACAAGTAATTATTATGTACTTATATTTTTTCATTAATATTAATATTGTGACGAATAAAAGCGAATGGAGGGAATATAACTGTAAAAACTTGCGAAGTCAACTACCACAAAGCCACGCGTAAACTTCACTTCTTGTCCCTCTTCCACCTCCACACATTTGTGACACAAGGCCCCAAATTTCCATCGAAAAAGCAACACTTTGAACCGCTGTCCACGGCGTTCGCCGCCGTTCTTTTCACCGGAAACCACTCAAAATTTGAAAAAATAAATACGATGTTGCGTGACGTGTCATCTTGCAATACATACAATTACGGTGATGCCCTTTACTGGGATTCCCGGTATGTTCAAGAAGCAGGTTCTTTTGATTGGTATCAACGTTACTCTGCTCTTCGCCCTTTTGTTCGCCATTGTGTTTCTACCTCTTCAAGGGTACTCATGGTTGGCTGTGGCAATGCTGGTAATCGTTATAATTGAGCTAAAAATGTGAACTTTTTGTGGGTTTTGATTCATTTCTGTTGATGTTTAGTTATTTTACTTGAAATTGAGCTGAAAAATTTGAACTTTTTGTGATTCTTGAAGGAATTTAGCTCTACTGAGTCCAATCTTTTATTGGGTTTGTCTGGTTTGAGCTTAAGATTTTGTTTATTCTGTTACCGGATTGAGAAAATCGTTTTAATTTGACTCTGATGTTTAGATTTTCTTGTTTAGTGTGAGCTTAAATATTGGCTTAATTTTTTTGTTTTTAAGTTGCTTTGTGTTGTAGCCGGATATTTGATTCTTTGATCTGTTTTTCTTGAGTTGAGGTCTATAGGAAACAATCTCTCTACCTCTAAGTTAGGGGTAAGGTCTTTGTACACTCTGCCTCCTCAGACCTTACTTTGTCGGACTACACGGGGTATGTTGTTGTTGTAAATTTGAAATCTTTGATTTATTGCTTTGTTGATACATTGTTATGTGTTTTTTGATGAAATTCATTTCAACCTTGATATTTCCTTGTTTAATATGAGCATAGGATTTGAATTTTCTTTCACGTTATCAGTTTGTTTGCATTGATCTTTTGTGAAGGGTTTTACGTGATGAGCTTTGTTTTGCGCCTGGTTTTCTGATGCTTCAAGAAATTCTTGAAGAGATTGTTGTTTTTTAGTTTTTAGTTTCAGATAGGAGGACCACTATTTGGAAAGGAGGCTTGTGGCAGGGTTTTCTTGCCTTTTTGAGCCTAAAGTTTTCATTTTTATTGATTTTAATGTTGTATGCGACCTGGATATGTGAAACTTGAAGAAATTTACCTCAATTTGCTCGAAGCCAAAGCTCTCTGTTGAATGCCTAATTGTTTTATAAACTGTGAAAAGTTACAATAATCACCTTTGACTGATTACAATCATGCTTTCTCTGGAAGTCTGGATATGATGTTCAATGTTATAGATTTAATGTTTTTTACTGAGATTATAAAATCTTTTTTTTTTGGTTCAGTGATGTCGGAGGATATGGTTAAGGATGGATATGAAGAAATAGTGAATGTTGATATATCAACAGTAGCTATTGATATGATGAAAAGGAAGTATGAGGACGTTCCGCAGATGAAATGTATGGTACCTGAAGAGATTCCTAATTCTGATTTAGAAACCTTTTTCCAATTCTGGTGAGATAAATCTGTGTTATAAAGTTCTCCTAATGTGAATACCAGACTTGCAAATGGATGTCAGAGATATGAGCTTCTTTCCTGATGAATCATTTGACGCCATCATTGATAAGGGTAATGCTATTGCCCTTCCTCATGTGCTATTTTTGGTTATTTTCCATTCACTTACCATCTTTTTTTCTCCGCAATCTGATCTTTTGTGGGATATCATCTGGTCATTACTGTAACAGGAACCCTTGATTCATTAATGGTTAGTTTCATCTTGCTCTCTCTCTCCAACTTTGTCTAATATGTTGACGTGCTAACTGTTCTATACTCTTTCAGTGTGGTACCAATGCTCCAATGTGTGCTGCACAAATGCTGGGAGAAGTGAGCAGGTTGGAAATCTTATGGTGTTTTATTGTGTTTTTTTTATAGTTATTCGTTATATTCACTTCCTTTCCTCCTTTGCTGTCTCAAAAATATTCTTCCTTTTGACGAGTAAGAACTTATGGCAATTGTCTTTTCATGTGTAGGCTTCTCAAAAATGGAGGTGTTTATATGTTGGTAACAAGAGGGCCAAAATTCCTACTTGTAACTTCTATACTATATTTTGAAACATCAAATAATTGTTGTTTTTTGCTCTGTGTAGATAACATATGGTGATCCTAGAGCAAGGATGCCTCATCTGAATCGATCAGTGTTTAACTGGAAAATTGAGTTATACATTATACGTAAGTTTTTGTTGCAAGTCATGCCATAATTGCTCGGTCTAGTGTGCTAGATTATTAAACTACTATATGGTTTGCATGTGGTATCATTTGTTAGAGATTTGTGAATTGTATTTGGGCTATGCTAAAGTCAATAGAAAGGCTTATTTGAGAACCTTTGCATGGATACTAGTTTTAAAATTTAAACCTGAACACATAGGCAGACATACATATCAAAAGTTAAGTATGTAAAGCAAATACAGTAGCGAAGAAGCCATGTTAAACTGCACCTTGTTGAGCAGCTATATCTTTTTAGTATTTTTTATATAGGGATCACATATGACCAATGAAATCTATTTAAGGCACGTTGACCAATTTTGCTAGCCATCTTTTTGCCTGAGCTTTTCTAACAGTTAATGGGACTGCATTCAGACTTAAACATTAGATCCTGGCATCAGTGCAAAACATTGCTTAGACTTATGCCCAAGCTTAAGCCCGCTAGCTGGACTTAAAACTACTATACTGATGTTAAGGCATGGTTTTAAGGTTACTTTTGGTTTTCCTGTTTCTACATAGCGTGTCTCTGAGTCTTGCTATTCAACTCAATAATAGGCTAATAGCATACAGAAAGGGTGGAAAAGGAAGGGTGGAGGGAATGTAAGAAAAAAAATCTGAACTGAGCTCTCTGGACTTTCATCGTAGCTCGTGAGTTCATGACGGGGGATCCTTGACATGTTCAAACATGCAAGTGCAACACGAGTTCATGTACTACATTGAATTTGCAATTCGGGGTATTGCAAACCTGAGTTCATGTAATGTGGTAACTTTTGATTCAGGGAGTACACATCTCGTATAATATGAATCACCAAGTTTAGAAATTTATCACATGTCAGGGGTTTGTGGAGATTAAAAGGAAAGATGTTAAATGGATTTATTAACTCGTGCAAGTGTTTTGTCATAATTTGTGATATGACAGCAGAATAGTGAAAGGATGTCATGGCAAGTTTAAAGAACATATACGTTTGGTGGTATATGTTTGTTTGAATTTTTAGAGGGAAGGAAAGATATCAAGTTTTCCTGGACTCTGCATAAAACTGGTACAAATTTTAAGGGAGTTAAAATTGCATTAAGCACAGTTGTTCACTCTCAGATGCTCAATAATTACCATTTCTTAACAAAAAAGGAAAACTAATGAGTCGACTGTCTCAGCAAGTGATAACCATATCCATAATTTTTAGGGACAAGCTACAAGTTCCAAAACATGCGTTCTGACAAATTCAAGTATAAGGATAACATAGTACTTCAGTTATATCTTTCTGAACACACATTTTAGTCAAAAGGATAAGTCAAGCTCATGTCTATCTCAAAAACTATTAAGTTTCTCCATTTCTATTCTCTTGTACTCTTTATTCAAACAGTTTTAAAGTTCTCTTATGATCAAGGGACTATACTTCCAATCTATCTATGTGCTGCCTCATCCTTTTGTATAAGGATAGAAACTCTGGTACTGGAAGTAGGGGGTAAAGAATTATCCGTAAAGTATAGTGCTAAAGAAAGTTTAGTGCCAAGTGAAAGGACGATTTTATGTATTTTCTTACATCTTTTGATAATATGCATCACGAGTCAAAACATGCTTTTAAACTTGCAATGAACAATTAGAATATGTTCAAACAAAGGAATCATACTTATACTCATAAATCATAATAGCTTACAACAAAATTCTAGTTTGTCATGGTACTCCTGAAAGGAATTTCAAGCATTTCATTGAAGCATATTATATGCATATACACACTACAGGCTTGTCCGTCTATGGAATTCTACAAAGTCTTTCTTAAAGCGGTCCTAATACTTTGAAATATCATTATTCATCTCAAATCATGCTGGTTATGGAAAACTAAACTATATTCAACGTTGCTTGCCTTAGGTCTTTTACTTTTCTGAACCTTGATATCTTGACTTATTTCTATATGATGCTCTCAGAATCTAATTATCTATTGAGAACCATTAAATATGGCAGTCTTTTATTAGATCTATCCTGATCCAGTCTTGGTCACGCTTTTAGCCGTGACATATCAGCCCATATATTACTTATGTCCAATTTTGGAGTAATAAGACATAATTCTGATGAGTTCCCTTGGAATTCACAAAATATGCCATAAATTAGGAATGATTTTTACGTTTGACTGTATAGAAATCTTTTCTCTTCTTATTAGTATCCCCAATGAGTTTTCATTGAAAATATGCCTCCAAGTAACTATAAAAAATTGGACCCACAAAATTTGTATGCAAGAGGTTAAACAAACTCAAAAGACTAAAAAACACGATTCTCGACTTCTCATGTGATTGTATTAGGTCTGCTATGACTACAGTGGTTCAAATCCAAAGGAACGGAAGCCTGGTTTCAGGATTTCTACTGTAGTCACATTGGTTCTACTATGACCATAAATGGTTTAAAATGTTTACACTAATGAACTGCAACCGTGTGTATTCTACTTTGATTGAACTAGATCTTAGTATCTTACCATAGCCATGATAGCCACTGCTCTGCACACTTGCACAAAGCAAACCCGAAAGACCAAAAAATCTTTTATAAGGATCCAACCCCATGCACCCCGATATATAAGACTATACATTATATAATTAACCTTCTATCAAGAATGAATATCCTGGATTCTTTCTACTATATACTCCTAAGTCCTAATACTTGGCTGCGTAAACTTGAAATGATTATTGATCTCTTCCGAGACTTGTTAGCTAAACTGATTATTTCTTTTTTAAAAAAGAGACAGCTCTGCTTAATAATAAAAGTTTCTTAATTATTGTCCAAGTCCGATCTTGTTACTTATTTCTACCATCTTACTCTCATTTTGCAGCTAGACCGGGATTTCAAAAGCCTGGTGATCCCCCTTCTAATGTGAAGCCATGCTTGGAACCTATTCCCCTAACCGAGAAGGGCCTACTTCCGGAAGATTATACTATGGAAGATCCGGATTCTCATTTTATATACATCTGTAAAAAAGTTGATGAATCAGTGGAGCTGAGCAACAGATCCACTGATCCTTTGACTGATGATTTACGATTGGAATCGCTAAGCCTTGGGAAGGATTGATTCTTCAAGTCGGCACAAACCATGTATGCTTACTGAAGGATGTACTTTTATTATCTAGGCTTGTAGTGTATCTTCTTTTTATTGGGGATTCATACTTCAGAAAAAGAGACTGTTTTGGGGTGGGAGATGGCAGGGGAGGATTTTGTTTGTCTTTTGTTTTTCCCTTTGTGTACTATTTCTGCAGTTTCACCAGGAACTGTTACTTCCTCGGGCACATGTATTTGGTAACTCTGCCCAATGCCCACCAAGGTCGAGACTGATGGGGAGAAATCATTGACCCCCCGTGATGTTTAGTCTTTTCTTACCTTTCCTTTTTTAGGGTGGGAACAGGTGACGGAGAACAGGAGGGGGCAAATATTTTTTGCAGTGAAGTCCAGAATTTTCAGCTCTAGATGGAAGCCAGAATAAGTTACTCCTTAGCTTGTGCTAGGTGGTTATGTTGTGAATCTAATAGTAGACATCCTATAGTTGTTAAACAATTTTGTTTCATAATGTTGTGTCATGTGTGTAGCATAGAACTGGAATATTTGTTTCAGTTTTTTTTACCTTATTTTGGTTTAGGCCCTACTTGCAAGTCATTCTGGTTGACTGGTTTTCAATGCTGTTATTTGTACCATCATTCTGTTACATTGCTTTGTTTTGTATTGTTTACTTACAATATGGGGTTATTGTTTTGTTTTGTTGATTGCGATAATTTATACTCTCTCTGTTACTGGATGAAAGGAAATTGACTTTTTTTCCTGTATGATAATGAAGATCTTAAACTTTTTTCTCTTGAGACGAAAAAGGCAATGTGGAAGATGAGTGAATCTGAGCAATTGCTATTACGTCCTACAAGTGTTGATAGATAGAGTAAGGGTGTGTTCGATCGATATTTTCATGTTCGATTGGTCAGAAATTTTAGAAATAGTTTATTTGGGAAAATGAATAAGGAAGATGATTTTCTTAATGAAAGTAGGAAAAGGAAGTAGCATTGTTTCCTCTTCTCGTAGTTTTGTCTTAGATATATGGTTTAATTTATTTTTTTGTTTGGTTTCAATCTTTCGAAATTTCCTTCCAATAAGTAGTTGATAGCTGGGGCGGAGCTAGTTTTGAGATACGAGTTCAGTAATTTTAATTCAAATTTTATGTTTGTCTTAGAATCAACTTTTTCAAAGAAATTCATTGAATAGGTATAATTACTCTCTTATACCAACAATATTGGGATGTCTAACAATACTTGTTCACCTTATGAAATCAATATATAATGTTATACGGTTGTTTGGTAGAGTGTATAAAATAATGTTAAATAGAGTGTATTAATGCATGTATTAGTTATTCTTGCGTTAATTATATATAAATTAGTTTTATGCATTGTTTGGTTTGATGCATAAAAAATAGTATGTACTGCATTAAAAAAATTATTTACTAATATACCTCCATTGTTATGGTGGAAAAGATGTAAAAAAGGTTTTGAGGGATAATTGAGTCTTTAATTGAGTTAATGCATGCATTAAGACCATTGCATTGCTAATACTAGACATCTATGGTATTAGTAATGCACACCTTAAAACACGATAAAGTATATACATAGATTAAACCAAACAAGATACATGCATTAAAACCATTGCATTGCTAATAGTAGAAATCTATGGTATTAGTAATGCACACCTTAAAACACGATAAAGTATATACATAGATTAAAAAAGAGTACCAAACAAGATACTAGTAATACACAAGGCTAATACATGGGTAAAACTTATCTGTACCGGGTGTATACACTAATCCAATACATGCATGTCATGTGTTTAAATTTATAGTTCATTTTACTAAATCTTAATTAATTATCATGTGTTTTACTTCATTAAATCACACAATAATGAAAATTGCATTAGTTTGGTGTATACACCCGGTGCGGATAAGTTTTTTTCCTAATACATGCATTTTTTTTTCTAGTACACTCTACCAAACGACTCATTAGTTTCTAATTTACCCTTATTACTAATTATAGTCATTTTTCTATTAAATTTTTTAAGACATTATATTTATTAGGAAAAAGGGTCAAAAATGCCCTCAAACTATGTGAAAGGAACAAAAATGACCTTCGTTTATAGTTTGACTCAAAAATGCCCTTACCGTCAATACTTTGGTTCAAAAATGTCCTTGCAGTCAATACTTTGGTCCAGAAATGCCTCTATAGTTACAAAATGGGTCAAAAATGCCCTTTTTCGAATAAATATATTATTTTTTCTTTTTAAACACATCTTCTTCCTAATTAAAATATTATTAGAGAACACTATTCTTGTTTTCTTTCTTCTAAAATCACTTTAACAAATAAAAACGTATAAAATATTTTCTTTATTCTTAATCTCATTTTATCAATTAAAATATAATAACTTCATGTACTCTTTCGACAGATAATATATGTCATATATATAAGATCATAGTAAGTCCATCATTAATTTATATTTATATAACAATAAAAAATATGATAATAAAATAAGAAATTATTTTTTTTCTAAGTTGAAGTAAGATAAACATTTGTTAATTTAAAAAACATTATTAAAAAAAGAATGTGTTAAAAAGAAAATAATAATATATTTATTTGAAAAATGAGCATTTTTGACCCATTAAATAACAATAAAGACATTTTTGGACTAAAGTTGACGACAAGAGCATTTTTGGATCAAACTACAAACGGAGGACATTTTTGTTGCTTTCACATATTTTAAGAGCATTTTTGAACCAAAGTATTGACGGTAAGGGCATTGAGCCAAACTATAAACGGAAGATATTTTTGTTTCTTTCACATAATTTAAGGGCATTTTTGACCCTTTTCCCTATTTATTATATTTAAAGAATGATATAGTAAAATTACTTTTTTATTTATAATCTCTCAAGAGGTATGAAAAGTTAATAGAAAACATGTAGTATTATAGGACAAAAGAAGTATTAATTTAATACTCAATAATTTTAAACAATTAAAATCTCGAATCAATAAACTTTAAATTCAATTAAGTTTACGAAAGGCGTAATAGAAAGTGAAACGTTTTAGGAACAATAATAGCAAAATCCAAAAGTAGAAGTATTTATGACAATCTCTTAAAACAAGAAAGAGAAGTCTGATCACAAAAAATAATACTCTACGACATTTGTTTCTAATTATTTGTCCTTTTTTACTCGTTTATTTTGACAAATAAAAAAAAATTAAATTTTTTTAACCTATTGCACCCTCAATTTATTTAGAGAATTAATATTTTTGAAAAAAAAACCGTAAAACCTCTTTAATGAGTAAATTGATTTTGAAACTCTATCAATTAATAGAAATGAAATGGTAAATTCAATATGTTAATTACTCCATTTAAAATAATAGATGTGCTAAATAAAAAATGAATAAGTAATTAAGAGCAGATATAGTAGTATAGGGACAAACCACTTTACCAAAAATTTGGTTTAGAAAATCAAATTCTATTTCTTTTTATTTCTCTTGGAAGAAATAAAATGACTTTTGCTTACCACTTCAATCCCAAATTAAATAAATTCCTCAATTCCAATTCCAGTTCCCTAACAATTTAGCCTTCAAATTGATTGACTTAAGCTACTATTGTGAAAGTTAATCCGTTTAAATCTCGTACTACCTTTAATTGCATTTTAAAGGTATTCTTAACTTGATAAAATTTCTCTTAAAAAGTATATTAATCTGTTATCAAATGGATTGATTTGACTTTTCATAATTATTACTTTCTCTGGTTTGTGTTATATAAAATATGAACCTTTTAGTTTTTATATTTAGTGTAAAATAACATCTTTTTTCATAATTAATAAGGTATTAATCTTTCTTTTTCTTCAAATTTATGCTTATTTGAATAAGTTGGTTTTTATATGACCAAGAAATCATATTAATTAAATATGTATGATTTAATTTATGATAATTTAGTGAAAATACCTTTTTATCTATTAAGAGCGAATGAATTTTTAAGAGATGTGTCCAAACTAAAAATATTATTACAATACCGGAGAAAGTAAATAACCTTATTCACAAATAATTTTATGAGAAAGAAAAAAAACGAAATTCTAGGATTTTTTTTGGGTGTGTGTAGAACTCGAACTTCATAACGGAACTTAATAACTTCAAGGGCTTGTTTGATTGCCATAATATTATAACATGCTAATTCTCAATGTAACAATTATTTAATGTACAAGTAATAATTATATAACGACAATGTGCCAATTTTTTTAAACTAAATACAATTATCAAATAATTAAATAAGCATTTCTTATATGAACAAGCGTAACAAAGCTACGTGCATTTATGAAGCACTACGTTTTTTATTTTTTATTTTTGGTTTCCTACTCAGTGTTTGGAGTCCATATTGAAGCTCCTACTAAATTCGAATTAGGTACTGCAGAGGGCCATTTGAGTGTGGCGCTTCCAACAGGATTTCTCCCATACCAGGACTAGAATAATCCGAAATTTCGGCTAAAGGTGGAGCAGTCTCACTACTACACCACAACACATATTGATAGCACTAAATATTAGGAGTACTAGTTATAGGTATTTGAAAATACATGTTTTTCCTGTTTAAAATATGTCAAATAATTATAATTGGGTAACTAATATTGTATAGAATTAAAAATATATATTTTTTCTAAATTAATAAAAATTTCAACTACAAATTAAGATTTATTATCTTTGATTGAAAATAATGAAAGATACATATGTAACACAAAAGTTTTTTTTCAGTATTATAAATGATTTGTTTTCCTTCAAAAATATGAAATTATATATTTTTAACAAGCCATCCTTGCACAAATATTCTCATAACAAAACAAGAGTAGGTTCAGAAAAATCAATTGCAGTCCTTGATTCAACATTGATTAACTAATTATTAGATCAAACAAATAAGTCAAATTGTGTAATTAATATAAATAACTATAATTATACTCAAACTTAATTCTTATAAGGATTTTCTAACGCGTCCTAAATAAAAAATGTTTCAAAAATTATAAACGAACGTTTTTAAGAAATAATAAAATTGCATATTCCATAAATAAAGAAATACTTAACATATTATAGAGAGATTCCAAAAATAATAATCTAAATATAGCAAAAAACAAAAATGGAAGAAAATAAAATATAGCAACTTATGTAAACCCTTTTTAACAACTACCAAAAGTATCGGATTAAAAAAGGAAGAATTCTAACACCATAAGATTAGTCAAGTCAAAGTATAAACAAATTTCAATGAAATTGTGAACTTTTTTTCTTAAAGTTTGCCTATAATTCTGACACATATGGAAAAATTACCAAAGTTACAAAAATCAACAAAATAGAAAAAATAACCATGGAAATCACGGGATACTTTACTCTTAATTTAAGAGATTTAAAGTTCGAGTTTTTAAATATGAAAAAATTCTTAATAAAAAGTGTTTTCTTTCAAATAGGATCCTACACAACATAAACTCAAAATGGTCGACTCCAATACGAATATCACACTCTATTTATAGAAAGAATAAAATGAAAGATGAAACATATCAATAATTTGAAACTTTTTTAAGAACTTCCAAAATAATAATAAAATTACATATTAAAATTGCAATAGCACAAAAGAAATAATACCCTTGTTTTAAAGGAAAAAAAATAAAAATGATTATATATGAATAATTTAAAATCAGTTGAACAACTTCTATTAAGAGATTGACGAGATTAGTAGAATTCTAACACCATAAAAATAGTAAGTTAACCAACTAATATATTTCCCCTTTTTCTTTTCCACACAAAAATCTTTCCTAAGATCCTATCTAACAATATTTTCCAAAGCTCACATATTGATGAATACTCCCTTTTGGGAAAATAAATAAATAAAAGTCCTTTATTGGAAATATATAAAAAAAAAAACTAAAATAAATGAGTAAAAATTTTAATATGAAAACTAAAAATTTATTTATTAATAATAAGAGTATTTTAACTATATTACAGTATTATTTACTTTTTGATCTTTCAATCTTTTTAGTTCTTCTTAGATATATAATATCAGAATAGTAAGGGATAAAACTAATTCTTCTTGATGTTGAGACGATAAGTACTCCAATCAGTTTTTTTTACTCGTTCAACTTGTATTCTGTATTCATCTTCAGAAATCATTATTTGAGTGTTTACTTTACCAAAGTGTTTTAATACTTTAATTGATTTGAGAAATAATTACTTAATTAATAAAAACAATACTTTCCCTATATATTAAAATGGACAAATATTAGAAAAATCTATTTTTAGTACAAGTAAAATAAAGGAAAAGAGTATACTATTACTAGAAAAAACCTATTTTTAATGAGAAAAAGGAAAGTTTGGAGGCCGAGAAAGTAGAGCCAAATGTAGGAAGAAGAGAGAGAAAAGAGGAGAGAGAAACAGAGTCATGCATAGAATTGGCCATGCAAATTTGCCGTTTCCAGAGTTTCGCCATTTGGGGACTTCACGTCTCTCTATCTTCTCTTTCTCTTTATAGCAATTTTCTTTTCCTCTTTTTCTCTTCTTTTAGCATAACCAAAAACCCCTCTTCCTAATTTCTTCTTATTCCCAAAAAAACAGATACAGAAGGAAGAAATTAAAGAGGGGAGGAAAAAAATTCATCAAGACTTGTCTTTTGGTGTTTTTTCATATAATTTAAGGGGAAAGAAAAGATGGGTAGAGGGAAAATTGACATAAAATTGATTGAGAATGTAAATAATAGACAAGTAACATTCTCTAAGAGGCGTGCTGGCTTGTTGAAGAAAGCCGGGGAGCTTTCTGTTCTTTGTGATTCTGAAGTTGCTGTTATTATTTTCTCAAGTACTGGAAAGCTTTTTGAGTTTTCAAGTACTAGGTATGTTTTTGACTTCTTTTATAAATTTCAATTTGGGGATTTTTAGTTGTTGCATGTATCTAATCAGATTTGATTTTAGGGATCTGTTTATGGTTTGCATGTGGGTGTTACTGTTTCTTGTTTGTATCGTAGTAGCAATTAGTTCTCGATTCTGTTTGGTTACAGTCCAGATTTATATTATTCTGTTAGAATACTGTACTAGAAAGATGAGTTTTCATTTTTGTGTGTATGCATGCTTCCATTGAGAAAAAAGTTTGGATTTTTAAGGGATGTGTAACTTTAAGTTGTTTAGATATATACTTCCATGAAACTGTTCAAGTATTTTTAGTTCACATATTTGATTTTTGGTTGGTGAAGTATTCCCCATTGTGTATCTGTTGCAAAATTTCCAATTATGCTGCAAGAAAATTGTTTCTTGTAGCACCCAATGGTGTGGCCGGGTGGTAAATGAAGTGGGTTGAGCATATGAGGTCTTAGGTTCAAATTCCAACAGAGATAAAACACTAGGTTATTTCTTTCCATCAGTCCTAGCCTTGATGGATAGAGATACCAATTACCGTCTTCCTCAGACACCACAGTTATCAAAAAAAAAATAAAAAAAATTCTTGTAAAAATGCTGATAATGCTTTTTATTACCAATTACTTGATGAATTTCTTCTTCCTTCTTCCCATTCCTGAGTTTTTGTTTGGTTTCTGATCGTCTTGAGTGCAATGCTGCTTGGGAGAGGACAAGATTATCATATACGTAGGGACATGCAATTTTGCATACTCTGTTTTTCTTTTAATTACTTATAAGGTAGTTGATTAATTCCTCAATATTGTTGTTAACAGGCTCATATCCGTGTATCCTAGGAAGAAATCTAATAAAACTCTCTCTAATTACAGATTTCAGATGATGCTATCTTTTACTATTTCTTTATTTGTTTTATTTTGAGGCAATTGAACTAGAATAATGAACTGGAAGTTTCTTATCTACTTCAATGTTTCATACTTTGTTCTGATTAATTGGTCCCTCTCCTTTCCATACATTTTATGCCAAATCTAATGTTTCAGTATTTCAAGAAGGTGCTTTTATACCAAAGAAAAGGGAAAGAAAGTCATCCTGAAATTTAGCTTTGATGTTGTATCTATTAGACTCTGGGATTATCTATGTTCCATGTGATTGTGATTGTAACACAGTCGATCAAGTGCACCTAATCCCCAAACTGGTTGGCTATAGTAATCATTATAAGTTGTATAGAGCATTCATTGAGGGTAAACTATTTATACGTTGACTGTCAACCACATTACCATCTTTCTTTATTTGATTTGGTACTGGCTATTGTTTGCAAAGCTCAATAGGAAGAGTTGATTGTAGTAAATCTTGGGACTAACTTATGGTGTGCTTTCCTTCAGGGAAAGGGATACAAGGCATTGAATTTTAGTTTTCACATGCATATTGGATTATTGTAGGAAACGAGGCATATTAGGCCAGAAATGCATTTATTAATGCCTGGTTTGTCAGTAAGTAAATAGCAGGAACATTCAATAGTCTCAGTTGCGTTGCTTATGCACCCATGCAGATGGAAAGAGATCATCACATCTCAGAGAGCCAGAGGCTTTTCCTTCCAATCTGTTCCTTGCCTGAGTATAAGATGCTATCTGCGCTTTGTACTCATTGAACCTCAAATTAGTTGTCCCAATTATTTTTGAAACAGTAGCTCGGTTGTATAAGTGTTTTGTGCTATTATTTGTTGGATTTTTTTATGGGGTGGCGAGAAGTTGAATATGCGACTTTTGTGATTTTCTTGGGTACATGTAACACTTTAAACGAATGAACCCACGGAAAGGGGCTAGATAGTTATTAAAGCTTTACTTTATTACGGAAGATGTGACTTTGATTAATTGTGGTTACTTATCTGTAATTTGGTGCACTAATTTTTGTTAAAATGCAGCATGAAACAGACGCTTTCGAGATACAACAGATGTGTAGCCTCAACAGACAATTCTGCCGTAGAAAAGAAGTCAGAGGTAGAAGATCTTCACCTGTTTTGTATGATTATGACTTGCTATAACAAATATGTATAATGCACTGTCCTTGGAATGAATATATTGAGTTCTGTTGCTCTTAATTTTATCCACAGAGGTGTATTTCTTCTTATACAAGCACATTAACAAGAACTATAGCCAATAAGAGCTTTCTCACTTTTAGTTCTTTTTTGGTTTGGTGTGATCATGATTTTTGATCAATTGTATTATATCTGAGAGTTCTTTTCTAGGGGGAAGATAAACGTGGCTGGCTTTTCTGCAACCTCTAGTAGAAAATGCTTTAAAAAAGCACATTTTGGTTGCATTTTTGTATGAAGAAACATTTCTCCAAGTGCAAGGGTTTTTCAGATTTATTGTTCATATTCTAAGGCTACATAATTTTCTGTATTTTCCTCAATGGTTTTTCTTTCTTTGTGTTCAGAGGAACATGGGTATCCTTGGTAGGATTTTTGATGTTATAATCTCTTATTTTTCCTCACTTCATTAATAATTATCCAGGAGGTTTTCTGCCTCCTTTCCCCCAGTGCTCAAAGAATGAACTGTGAGCAATTTTGCAGCACTCTAAAACTTTTCCCTACCGCTGTCGATACTCGATACTATGTGAACTCTTCTCAGGTCACTTGGTGGACAATAGCATGTCCCATATTTTCTCGGTTAGTTGTCTCTCAGAGTAATAAATGAAGATATATTGTTCTAAATTGAAAAGATGTCCGCAGACTTTGTTTTGGTTTCTTTCTGGTGACTGCGTTATTTAATGAGATTAAAAGTCTAGATTGTAACTCATCAAATATATTTGGTTGGATCAGCGGTTAATTCTTGCTGGAATACATCAACAAAAGTTCCACCTTTCTGATAAAAATATAAACACATTACGAATCACTATCTAGAAAGTACGACATTTGTGTTTTCTACTTTTTGCTTTTAATGCAAATATATGAACTGGTTACTGGGAATCAGGTAGTTCAGCATGTTTTCCTTGAAGAACTCACAACATATGAACTTCAGTTGTCTGGCTTTCATCTCTATATGATACATATATGGAATTTTTTCTCTATTGAAGGACAAGATGCAATAAAGGAAAAGTTAAAGTAGGTAAAGGAGTTAAAAATTCGAATATCCATCTTCAGTCTGGAACACTTTTCATTGTTAATTATTTGTCATAACTGATCGTAATTGGATTCTTTTTCTTTTTCCTTTTGAGCGACGTCTTACCATCGTTAAGAGTCATTAATGACAAGTGTATTGCATTTGTTTGAACTCAGGTAGTCTTTGCTGCAGATAGAAAGGAGAAAATGTGCAATCACTTGAATTTTCTGTATTCACAGTGACAATGAATTACAAATGATTTGATGAGTTGGCCAACAGTCTCACCACAGCCTTCCTCTCTTCTTGAAAAGATCAAATTTCATAAAAAAGCTTCATTTAAATTAATATACTGAGAGATGTAGCTTGCTAAATGATTTCAAAATTTCTGCAGTTTTTGCATTATTCAACAGGTGGCACGTGTGGTAACTCATTTTGTCCAGGATATAACTTTATCTTGATGTCTGATCTGTATGGAGTGATTTTTTTTTGATAAAAATGATTGTTTTTGCCCTTGAAAGTTTTACTATCTTGTGTATTATACACACTGACATGCACAAATAGATGCATGTATTTGTTTCTACCATGGTGTGGAGGGTTGGGGTGTGTCTGAATACTTAATCGCATCTAAAACAGTCACCCATCTTTGGCTATGGGCGTAGAGGTTTCTGAATTTCTCTGTTGCTTTTTCCTTGAACAAGGACAACGAGCAGCCACAGTTGCAGCAGCAGACACATGTGCTGAAGCAGGAACAGAGAGAGGTGGACAGTCTTAAAGACGAACTCGCAAAGCTCAAGACAAAACAACTGTATGGCTCTGTTAATTATGTGAATCATTATTCAAGGATATTTAGACCTTGAACATGGTTTAGATTCATATATGTGATTGACTCTTATTTCAGGCGGTTGTTAGGCAAGGACCTTAATGGTATGGGTTTGAATGAACTACGGCTTCTTGAACATCAACTAAATGAAGGACTATTAGCCATAAAGGAGAGAAAGGTGTGAAGTTTGCTTTCATAATTCACTTATTAGTGCAGTAAGACGTTGACAGCTTTTGGTTTTTTACCAAAATGTATCTTTCCCCCCTCCCCGATTTTCTGGAATGTGTCTATTTGTTGAATCTTGGAAATCTGAAGTATAGTACTCTACATTGTAGGAGGAATTGCTGATACAGCAACTAGATTATTCTAGGAAACAGGTAAACTACATCATACAGTTAAAATGTATAATGTATATATACTGACTATCTTTTTTCGCCAATGAAAGAAAGATTAGAAGTACAGTTTGAGCTTTCTTGACTCATGTTTTGCTGACTTTTCTTCTTGGGTGATTTCTATCAAGGAGGAGAGGTCTGCGCTGGAGTGTGAGACCTTACGTAGACAGGCAAGAGACGCCTTCTCTTTTGTTTCTATCGCTTACACCCAATAACTCCCCTCTTTTATGTTTCAGGGCGGTTCCTTTCTGACACAATTGCTTTTGCCATCTCATGAGCTACAGGTAGAAGAGCTCCGAGGGTTATTTCCTTTAAGTGCTAGTTTACCGCCACCTTTTCTTGAATATGATCGTCCATTGGAAAAGAAGTATTCAATTTTAAAAGAGAGTAAGGAGAGTCTGGATTCGGACACTGCATGTGAAGATGGAGTAGATGATGAAGATTCCAACACAACTTTGCAACTGGGGTATTATTATTATTATTATCTTCTTGGAGTTATTTTTCTTGCTTCTTATGTACATGTTTTGCTGGCTAAATATGTCATGTGTGCTGTCACCACCTAAAAGCTCCAACTTAAAAACATAGTAACTAAAGTTTTGCAGGTGTCCTTTTAGCAAATTTCTTGGCATTTATATAAACTTTCTTTATGTGCAATTGATTCTGACTGTCCTTTGCATACTGTGTTACTTAGGCTTCCAACTATTTGTCGAAAGAGAAAGAGAACTGAGCAGGAATCTCCTTCAAGCAATTCAGAGAATCAAGTTGGCTCAAAGTGACCATTGTCTTTCGGGACTCGTCCCCTCTTTTGTAACTTGTTAGGCACATGTCAGGTCAAATGATATTGAACCAGTTTTCATGTTTGAAACAGGTTCATCTAGACCAGTGATTTTGTCAGGGACTTAATGATCCCTTAGATGGCTTAAGTAAGATGAACATGCTGGTTTAATTTTGATTTTGGACAATATCTTTGGACAGTGTATTTTAAGATGGAGAATAGATGAGTTCAGCTCTCCATTTTTACTGATTATGGTGCCTAGAGCCATTCACACCTCCCTCTCATTGCTTTGTGTTTTCAATGTTTAGCCTTTCACTAAGGATGAAGAGCCTTATACATCCTGAATCTGAATCCTTTAGTCAGGTCAGTGAGTTTCGAATATCAGATAGTTAAATAAAGATGATATAAGACCAAACATCAAAGTTTATACATACAACTTTCGATACTTTTACAATGATAAATCTTTTCACAACCAGTTTATACATATCCAAATTTACAAAAGAATTCACTTGCTATTTCTACTTTCTAGTGTGCTTAAGGCAATCCAGGAATTTGCCTCGTTCAGCTAAAACTTCTGAGAACAGATCATTTGTTTTCTTTCCAATTTTCTGCATCAATTCTTCTAAATCCTCCAATCTTCTCTTCAGTTCAATGGCAAATTCATCAACACTACCATTAGCCACTGCTTCTTTCAAACCAGTTATCACTTCATTTATCTCCTTCACCTCTCTCGAAACACCGCAATTTTCTGCAATTTCACTTGCTAATATAGTATCCCAGCCTCTGATCAAAGAATCATCAAACAATCCAGCTGATTTCCTCAGTTCCAGATAGGGTTTATCACTACTGCATATTCCAGATAACAAAACCCCGAAAATCCACGAAGAAACGCTCATCAGGATCCACAAAGATCGACGAACGATCAAATCTTTTCCACTGCAAGGACTTTCTTCATTCTCTGTTATCATCTTCCTTTCAACTTTCAATTCCTTGCCAAGATCATACGGCTGAATCTCATTTAAATGTTCTAAAGCCACCAATGGATCAGAATTTTTCCAATTAAGCTCAATCCATGAGAGATGCTAAGCTTAGCATGACTCAAATGAGAAACACCAGAAGTCACAGAATTCAAAAGCTCAAGCAAATTCAAGCTATAATCCAAATACTCCTCAATTTGTGATTTTCCCCATTTGGCCATTGGATGGTCTATTTCAACCACAAGCTTTGCAAAAGCCCTATGAGTCAATGGAATTACATCAACACATTTCTGAATCCAAATCAGGGACAAAAACTGAAATTCCAATTCTGTCCCTGGTTCTGAAATTGGCAAGACTTCGTTCAAGATTTTCGATATTTCGGATCGAAAACCTTGCAAAGAAGAAGCCAATAAGGCTTCTGAATTGTGATGATTATGAAGATGATGATTCTCCATATTTTTCAGAAAATGGCTAATTTTTTCAACCAAGAGTACCATATCAAACAACAACAATGAAAGGGACTTTTTTTTTTTTCTTTTTTTGGAAAGTAAAAGGGGGGGATTGATTTGATTTGGTTGTGTTTTAGTCAATAATTTGGTTTATTTATATAGCTGGTGGGGTTCTGAAAAACTCAAAAACATGGGCTGAATTGACAAGCTGTTTTTGCACTTGGTATGTTGCCTTGCACCTGCATTTTACGTTATTAACAAGATAAAAAAAAGTCTATACTCGTTTCAGTGTTTTTCTATTTGAATAGTATAGTGGTCGCGCAAAGTACAGTCAGTAAATTTTGAATATCGAAGGAAAAAAAAACATAGTAAACACATATTTTATTAGTTATATAAGAAATTATGAATTCCACGATTTTTCTTATATAATAATAATGATAAAAAAAAATTAAAAACCAAAAAATAAATAAATACTATTTGTTATGAAGTACCATATTGCATAAGAGTAATAACTCAATTAATAATAATATATCCCTTTTAAAAAATTTGTTCTTTTACCTTAGAGATTTGTTTAGTGACAAGATAAGTGTTACGCGAGGTCAACTTTGCCATGATGAAGTGCTTAGCAATTATTCCAAAAGTCAATGGTTTACGAATATCTCATTCAAATGAAAAAGAAAAGTAGTACTCCTTCCGTTTCATAGTTATCATGTTCTGTCTATTAAGAGTCAATTAATTAATATATTTTTAAAATTAAATGGGATTAGATTTATTTAATATTTAAATATTATATATTCTCTGAAAATAAAATATGACAAATAATATTTTAAAACAGGAGAAGTATTTCTTACGAATTATTTCATATTTTAAGAAGTGAGTGAAAAATGGCATTTGCAAAATCAGCGGCGTTGTAACCACAGAAGATGGGGACCATTTGGTCAAAGTTGTCATCACACACGTCTAATACTGTGTGAAGGAACAAATGGTTTTCTTCTTTTCTACGTATATGTATATGTATTGGAAACTTGGTAAGCAAATAGATAAACATGTCTACTATATAATATTAGAATACATTATAGTATACATTTTCTGAAAATATGAACTAAAAATAGGTATGACATTAGATAGTAGTTAGGGATGTTCACGGGTTGAATAAAAATCAATTTAAATTGAAAAATTGAATTAAATGATTAACTAAATCTATTTTATTTAGATTTGGTTTGATTTTAGATTTTTTAAATCGATATTATTTGGGATGATTATGATTTTGTTTTGATAATTTTAAAATCGATTAAGTTGATTTAATGTTAATTTGATCAATAATCATCTAACCCGACTCATGAATACCCCTAATAGTAGTAGTTCAAAACATTTTGGAGGCATTTGAGTATGATTTTTTTTTATTTTTTTCTGAAAAGTTGATTTCCAGAATTTTCAAAAAAATTAAAATAATAAACAAGTATTTTAACTTTTTTCACTTCAAATCACTTAAAAAAACAACAACTCCAATTTTTAATAATCATTTCCTTTCATCTTATTATTATTATTATTATTATTATTATTATTATTATTATTTTACAACCAAAGTTTAACTCAAGTTATATTTGAAAATGATCTTTCTTTATGCAGGATATTCAGAAGGTGGATTGGTTAATCCACTTTTGTGACACATGATATTTATTTGGTGGATTGGTTAATTCACTTTTGTGAACTCTCTGGAATTAAAAGTATATGATTATTTTTTAAATGAAATATAAAATAAAGGGAAAATGATCTGAAATATATTTGAGTTTTGACGAAAAATTGTTATAACATTTTAAATTTTGGATGGATCCTATTACCTTTTGCCTTATTTAATAATGTATTTTAAAGGTATACTTGTGTCCAACTGAACTATTTACTCAGTCAATCATAAGTGATTGTCTCACGCGTGTCATTTAATTAATTGATTTTTGGAAATATATTTGGACATGTGATAAATCAAAAAGTCAAAAGAGGAAAAATTGCATTATTTGAACATCGTTCTTCCAACTAGGTCAGATTGAGCTTCCATCCCCCTAATTTCACTATCATTGTAATCAATAATTTCTTGTACCTCCTTCATTTTCTTTACATTTGCAACTAATAGTTCATTCATCATTCATTTTCTTCACCAACTTTGAAATGATAAACTTAGATAGTTCATTAACCACACTATCCCTTCAATAAAAATATTTATACTATTCAGATTCATAGTATGAACAAAATCAAAATTTTCTATCCGAATTATTATCGGATAATGAAGTTTTCAAAGAAAGCAACAAATTATGAAAGTATCGCACTTCCTTATTCAACTTTGAATCATCCTTGTCAAAACAATTGCTATTCAAGTTCAGTTTTACCTCTTTCATGACTAATTCCAATTTAAAAAAATAGAAATTGGAAGCTCCAATTAAAAATCAAACAAACTAGACAAACAAAGCAATCAGAAATTAAAGAGAATAATTCGTTAAAGCTTACATCTTTGAGCTACAATGGTGATTTGTGTTTGAGTAAACAATGGCTATGGGAAAAAAAGAATCAGATAAAGAGATAAAAAGAAATGAGTCTAAATTAATGAATATTATTGCGAAAAAAAAAATTACAAAATAAATTTCATTTTTGTTGACACATGATAGATAGTTAATGATAGGCTTATAAAGTATTATTTCATATCCTATGCGCCACGAAATAATAGGTTTGCCTCTCTACTTCCAATTGAGCCACATCGCCTGCAATTTCACCTCCGCCTTAAGTGATATCCAAATCAAAAGATTCATCAGCCCATACTTTGAAAAATAGATTAAGATATCGAATATTATCCTTTTTAATGAAATCTGATCTGTCGTAAACGTATATCTCTTGATAAGGTCCTATTTGATAATCCTAACAATAACTGAAATAGGTGAAGAAAAATTTGATAGTACAGGATCTTAAAATATGTTGTATTACACGGCTAATTGGGAAAAGTACTATGTAACTAGAAAATGGCTATTAAAATAAAAGTTTAAATGCACATTGTAATTATTTTTAACTATAATGTAATTCTAAATAACAAATAGAGTACATATTTTGTTGCTATAGGGAAAATTGTATATAATAACAAACTATTAATTCAAATTAAATGCTATAAACATAGTTTGATTTAATTATATCCCATATCAAATTGTTGCTATTTCGCCTCTCTCCCTGGTGAATCTCGCTTGCCACTCTCGTTCTCGCTGGGCAGTCTCGCTCGCCTCTCTCGCTTTTATACAAACACAAATGTATAAAATGTGTTTGTGTTTGTATAAAGCGAGAGAAAAGTATATATACATTTATTTTCGTTCCCTCTTCCAGATCTCGCTCGCCACTCTCAATCGCCTCTCTCACTTTAAACAAACACAAATGTATACATTGCGTTTGTATTTGTATAAAGCGAGAGAAAATTGTATATACAAATACAAATGCATATATTTTCGTCCTATACACTTATGATTATACAAATACGATCTTCCCCTGTCCAGTTTTCTTTTGTTTTTCTCTCTTTCTCGCTTTATACAAACACAGATTATACAATTGATTCTTTTGTATATAATTGCTTCTTTTGTATATATGTATAGCGAAATAGCCATAACAAATATAAAGTTTGCTATGGAGCGCAATTATGCAAACTATAAAAATAACATACAAATATAATTTTTGTATTTGCTATATGTGAAAGTTGTGCCTTGCTATATTATATATAAAAAAAACTATACCTATTGATATATATGTATTATGATAAAATTAGAGACAACAAATTTGACCCATAAATGTGTAAGCCGCTGAATCGGTCCAAACTTAAATGAGTT